TACTATGCAGCGAAAGACATATTTTTAGACCGACTCGGAAGACTCGTGTCCCAGTTTATGCATATATATATATATATATATATATATATATTTATAATTCAAGATAAATTCTGCGAACACAAAGTTGTTCAAGAAAATTGTGTCCATAATCTCGCGTAAAGTTTATTATTCTTTGAAATATTCTCCGAACTCTTCTTCAGAAAGAAATGAAATCTTTTCTGCTTCTCTTGCGGAAAAATATAAGTACGATAAAAAAATGTACACTACCACCAAAACGAATTGTAATTGCGCTCGCAATCAATCAATGTCTCGCTGATATCGGTTGCGCGTCGAAAGTAATTGTTGGACGAAATATTTAATATCATTCGTTTTGGTAAAAAGATGCGGTTTAACTGCGATGTAAGTTTCCGATACGGCAGCTCGTTGCAATAAAAAAGAGAAAAACGGAGAAGAGAGAACGTGGCTGCGCCTCTATCGACGGATCGAAGCTGCACGTGTATAGAGGAGAGCGGTATCGCAGAGGAAACGGGAACGACGCGGGGCAGACATAAGCCACTTAGATTTTAGCAAGAGGTTTCGTGTTACGCGCGATACTTACGGCGAGCACTTCGACATTTTGGGAACTTTACCGCGAAAGATGCATCCGCGAACATTTTCACCCGAAGTTGACGTCTTCCATTTCCGCGCAAAGAAAATCAAAATCCCCTTATGCAATAATGTACTTCGCAGTGATATCGAGATATACGTGTGTGTTGGGCAGATATATTTATTATCTAAATTTGAATATTTTTATTTATATATTATCTTGTCAAAAAATAAAACGTGCGATAAATGCAAAATACTTTTTTCTAAATTTACGGTGTTATTTTCATATTCGCGCATGTATTTTTTATATTTATCTACTAACCAGTGTCTAATACGATATTTGAGAGCAGTCTTGTTTTTTTTTTTTCATCTTTTTACATTAGCGTTTTATATTTCGACTATTATAATAGATTTCATTGTTATATTTTTGCACAAAGCCAAAATTTACGCTCTCTCGATTTCCTGGAAGTGTTTCCCGATAATACCGATGACAATTGGAATCCAATTTATTCGCTAGATATGCCGTAATATTGGTAAAGTTAATCGATATCTTTGAAACGATAGCGGTTTACCGCAACCGCGATGTTATTAAATAACTCGTCGCGATTATTATCGTGGAACAAAGCGATTTTTATAAACTCGCCGCGTCAAAAAAGTTTCACATGAATGCACGTCCGATGAAGATTGCTATTCTAAAGAATGATCGATTTCTATCTTCATCGTGTTTGTAGCATATAACATGTCATTGTTTTTCAATAAAGCGTTATTAAGTTACTTATACACGTCACATTCTCTGTGTACAAACTGTTAGTATTGTATTCTGTTTTCTTTTTTTAACTGTGCACATATAGTCACTTTCGATCAAGAAATGACTCACTTCAACGTGTTCAAAATAGCGTCAAAACTGTGTGTGATTCGAAAAAGCTTGAGAAAGTGCAAGCGAAGCAGTGCGCGGCGCGCTCGAATCTTCTATCCTCACAATTTTAAATAGAAATTTTTCTCTTGTCTTCTTCCGGATTTTGCGGAGAAAAATTTCGTGCGTGTCTCTCGAGGAAACACGTCCCGAATCCGAAGACACATCACCCCGTTCGAGTTCTCCATGCGACTGAACAAGCTGAGAGGCCGGGTAACATAAGCTACTTGGATTTCAACGAGCAGAAGTGTTGCGTTACCTTCAAGAAAAGCAGACGACCGACGCCTCGACGACATTCTCTGCGTTCTTCGTCTCGTAATCTCGTCAAACGGATTGCCACCGCGCTCGCTAACAAACACGTACGAGCGTGTGCATTCGTTTGTCTCGGACAATCGAATTTTTCCTCTTCTCAAACAAACTTTCTCTCCTTCTCACTTCTCGTCTTTATTCGCGTTTCCTTGCAAATATGTGTTGCAGTTTTATTTTGCGCAAACTTTGATCTTTATCCCCCACAATATCGTTTTACCTGCCTTTAGTCGGTCTTAGAAGTGGTCGCGAGAATCGTCTGAGTGAAAACATCGAGAGAGGAGGATCAAAAGAGTCTTTTGTACGCCGTGATTTTCCGTCGTGTTCTGTAAATTTCTCATTTTTGCCGTAAGCAACCGTGTCTGTTGTGTCAGTTTTCTCGAAGATGCGGTAACGAGAAAATAGTTGAGATGTGACTTTGGAAGACCTCAAGTTTTTGCATTTCGGTCGTTTGCTCGAGACGCCACCGCGTTTCTGTAACTTGGGCGCGCGGAGTTTCATCTCCTGGTGAGAATCAAAGAGAAACCTTTCGAGAAACTTGATTTCCGTGATTTAATTATACTGCAGATGAAGTGTACTCTCAAAGAGAGAAAAAGAGAGAGATGGAAATTGTTTACTTAAATTTTTAATTTATTTTATTTGCTCTCTCTCTCTCTCTCTCTCTTTCTCTTTCTTTCTTCTAAGTTTTTGGTTGCAACAATTAATAACCGAGAAAACATTTTTGCGCGTTGTCAATTATTGTTCAACGAACACTTCTTAAACTTACTTGATGTATATAAACACAAGATTTTAATTTTATGTAGAATTTTAAATTAAGTTTCTTTCTTCTCTCGCGCAGAGAGTGCGTCTGACTTTTCTTGAACAATACGTTAATAAAAGCAGGTCAACGCTGGTATGAAAATATCTGCGCCAGTGAACGTTCGTTGTCAGATTTCTTTTCGAGTTTCGCGTTAATATGGAAGGGAAAGCCGGACGTTGACGAGAGACTGACAAAAAGTACGTCACAGTTGAACAAACGGAGAACGGGGAGAAGGTCGGCCGTAGCATCGACGAATGATTGGTTTCAGCGCCGCGGGCCATTAGCAAACACCTGAAGCTTTTCGCCCCCGTTCGGAGTTCCTTCGCCTCGAACTTTCGCAAACAGAGAAAGAAGAACACCCGCAGAGTCGGGGGGTTAACAAACTCATTCTTCCCAAGCCTGACCCGTCCTGCTGCAGTTTTTAAGCGCTTTTTGCCGCCCACGTTCGTTGTGCCGGCTTGCTTCGCGAAAAACCCGATTAACAGTCCGCGATTGAAATCGTCTACTTTTTGTGCCGGCATCGTGGAACTTCGCACGGTATTTCGAACACGGAGAATATCGACGGAGTTTCGCGGCAAGGAATTTTCGATGCAGGAGTATTCGCTTTGAGATCGAAAAAAAATTCACAATTGTTCATTTGAATGATGTATCGCTCGATGGTTTAGACGAAACAAAACAATGTATACGTATATATATATAAACGATTGCGTTGAGCACACATCAATAAAAACAATTCTCTTCTGCTTTCCATTTATCACGAAGTTTTAAAGAATTATTGCCATTAAAGCTTACATTTAAATCGCTCGATATTGAATAACATAATAAATATAATAAATAACATAATAAATTTTTACGAAGTACAAAATATTGTCTCTCTGCTTGAATATTTTCTACTGTAAATTGTAATTTTTCATTTCGCGTGCGAGATAAACAAAAACAAAAACAAAAAAAACGCTAGCGGAAAATTTCACTGACAACGTTCGTTGTATTACGTAATCGACAAGTAGCGCGTTTATGAAGTATCAAGCGAGGAATAAAATTTTTTGACGGCGTCTCTTCGTGAATTTTCTCATTCCGCTAAGACCTCGTATAATGCGCATAAAGGGTTTCTCGGAAGTTTTTTTACCGTCGTCGGCCGCCAAGAGTATCGTTTTCAGAATAAAGTAATCAGCGAGACGAACGGTTGCGAAGATAAGGGGTTGAAAAAAAAATTGATGAGGGACTGGTGCAAGAATTTTACGCCGCACCGACAGATCGTTATTTTAAAAAACAGCTGCATCTAGGAAGGATGTTATAAAAAGATCTCATTAAATATCTTTAATGAGATGACGATCTCAGTATATCAACAGAGTTTTATTTTATTCGCGAGTAGTTGTTTTTATGTTTTAATATTATTTATTTGCATTATGCTCATATTTTTTGTCGGTTCTCTATTTATATACTCAAACAAAATAACATTTACATCGGAAAAAACAAACAGAAAGTGAAAACGATCGATCGCGCGCATATAACGCAAAGCGTATAATCAGCGCAGTTTAACGTTGAATGATAAACCGGGAATACAAGTGTCAATTTACGCGTGTAATTTTCTTTAACGAAGGGAATCTGCAATTACCACGCTTGCAAATCTCGCAATTCTCGGGTTTCGATCGGATCTTCGAATCCTCATCGCGAGGAAGATGTGTCTTTGCGTTATGCACGAGGAAGAATTTTCGAGGCAGAACTCCCAAAGGGTGTTCTACGAGAGTTTGTTCGTCCGTGGCAACGTTCTCGAGCAGCGTTCCGGATTTGAATTTCTATATTCGTACGGGGAAGAAGAGGGCGGAAAGGACGAGTTCCAGGTCGCATCAAACTCAGCTCCGGATAAGCTCGACGGAATTTCCCGGTAATGGGAGCTCCGCGCTGCGTTCCGTCCGAGAAGAATCGATCTTCTTGCGAAAGCACGGCACGACCGAGATTTTATATGAGAAGTTAATGACGCTACGTGTTTCGTGTAGTTGTCGATAAAATCCCTCCCGTTTTACGTCGCGTCTCTCGTCCTGCCAATTTAACGTATAATTTATCGCGCTAGCGCACCGCAATCGGATTTATACGAATTTCGGAGTGATTATCAATGACTCGTCGAACTATCTGTTCTCAATTATACATTTCGATGATTGCCGATTAGTCAGCGGTTTGATAATTCGACGTGATCTCTTACCGATCCAAATTTAGCATTGCATTATCGATCGTATAATTAGACTTTATGTTGCAAAATTTATCATCTTCAGCTTTTAAAGTAACGTCCTTATTTAGGAGCTTTTAAGTTTCGTTTCTCAATGACAATATTACACGCGGTAAGCTCCCATTAAGTTACGATAAATAAATCCTATTAAAGAACCTTATTGTTTTTGGCAGAATGCGCGGCCAAGAACGGGAGATCGGTGGTGGAGCACCATCCGTCGTATTGGGAGCAACCCTTTAGTCAGCCTTACTTCGACAACACGACAAAGAGGGAGACCACAACTACCGTCGGACAATCCGCTTACTTGCACTGCAGGGTGCGCAATCTTGGCGATCGCGCGGTAAGTCCCAAGTTTCCTTATCAGGAAGCCGTCGTTGTGATAACAGCGCTTGAGTTCGGAAACGTTGCACTTCGTAGACATGTGGATTAAGATCAGGAGTTCATTAAACATCGAGACCGTTTTGCGCGCGATTTTCCGATAATTATTTTATCTTGTATGGAATAAAACAATCGCATTTATTCGCGTTTATACGTCGATCAGATTTCTCGAAGTTATTTGCGTTTCAAATCACTTGTGATTTACAAAATCCAGAAAAAGTGCATTTGAAGATAAAACAATGAACAATTATTAGTTTTTAATTTCAAAATTATATAATATGTGTAAATGTGTCAATATTGTTCGTTTTTCGAATAATTCGACACAATTTTAACTGATGAAACGATTAAAGACGTGCGAAGTGAAAATCAGTAACGTCTCGACGTCAAGTACGTACATAGGAAAACAAAAACTGCGCAGTTATGTTATTCAAATAACATTTCGAATTTCCGGTTCTGCAACATGATCATGTCGCTATTGTTTTTAGTACAAAAAATCAATTAACCGGTTAATCCTCTTACTATGTAAATTATGCAAAACTCGATGAGAACGCTTTAACGCTCGGTTATGCGTCAACAAGTACGTATTCGCGATTAAATTTCGTCGTTGCGAGGAAACTCAGTGAAGCGGCAGCAGGAGCAGTAGCAGCAAACATATTTGTCGTTGCAAAATGAAATCGTGCGCATTCGTTCGATTATCACGAAATCCCCAATTATCTTTTTTGTTTTTCGCAACGCAAAGTGTATTTTCCTCAATTTTCTATCACACGATCTATCCTCTCCCTCCCTCTCTCTTCCCGTTCCGCGGCATTGATAAATTCTCGTATACGCACGTGCCCGACAATCGGAATCGCGCGCGACCCAAAGTCAAATAAATTCGCAGTTACGTGAGCGGCGAGGCATTAATCCACGATCGTTCGCGACAAAACTTCCGCTGTTCTCTTTGCTAATGCACTTGCCGCGCGACTTGCACAGCCCGGACACGAGTTCATTCTTCATTTACTCACGCGACATCGTCTCGCACTTTTACAGCAACCTAGTTCACACCCTCGCGCGCGCGCGCGCGCGCGCCCGCCTACCTTTTCTCCTACCCTCACTTCGCTTTTGTAACTCTTTTTTCGTGATCGTTTTTCTTATTTCCGCTTGCAAACTTGCAGGGCAAGTATAACTCTTCACGGTTCAACGTGAACTACATATACTTTCTCGCGCATATATTTAGTTAGAGAGTTATATAAGAAGACATTAATGCACGATCTCGTTAGAGATATATTTTATCACATTGTAGGACGTTATCTATTTTTTTTTTTTTTTTTTTTTTATCAACTTTGTGAGAGCAATTTAATTAAAAATATAGCAGTTGACTGACATTTATTAAATTGTTAGCCCGATTACTGTACAGAAAATTAGTTTTTGTTGATAAAAATCCTTTAATGTTCATCGGCGAGAGAAAAAAAACGTGAAATAAACATTTTACCAGTAAACAATTCGCGCTTTTTTAGTTTTTTTAAGTTTTTTTTATTTTTTTAATTTTTTTTATTAAAATATGTATCCAGTTAGTTAACATTCTGTCGTTCACATGTCAGTCACATGAAGAAGTAAAGTGGCGCGCGCGCGCGCGCGAGTACAGCTCGCCAGCAAAAGGTCAAATGTTGGAGCGCAATGTACGTACAAAATATATGCAGCTCTCGCTGCATCAATTTTTCGGATAGTTTCCTGAATTAGCGAGCGCTCGGACCCGGCTGTTTAACCTGGTATTCATCACTCGCGGTCCTAATGCAAAGTAATTTCGCGGATAGGCGCATAGGTCACCCGGGCGAATGGTGACATTACGCGTTATCGGTCGCTGCTCATGCATCACCGCATGACGCACAGGAACCCGTCAGAGTCCAATCACCGATCGTAATCGCCGATAAATCAAATTTCTCGCGCACCCCACCCTCCTCTTCCTCCTTCTCTTCCTCTGTGCGAATCCCCTTTTAAGCCCCTCGCGTGCTGCGCTCCCCCGCATTCACAGCCAGGCCGGTTACCCTCAATATAACGCTCTCATGCATCTGGACGTTTATATATTTGCAATCGGAAAGTCAGCGTCAGCCGATCGCAATGTCGAGATCGCGCGCTTCGTCTGAAGTCTCAATTTCACATGATGATCGTAGAAAAATCGTTCGCGCGGTAGTGAAGTATCAACAATTTCCACTAAAAATTAAGTTCGAAAAATGTAGTTCGATTCTATGTACAATGTGAAGATGAATATCTTTGTGACCCGCTTTGGTTTTTACGTACGTAATAACAAATATAGTTCAGATATTCTCGATATGTTTGAAAGTTGGCGAACCGTGTACGTTAGAAATATGTCGTAAACGTCGGAACTTTGGCTCGAAACAATGCCAAACTTCTCAATTGCGTGCCTAGATTGTTGCTGCACCTTGGTGCAACTTAGCAATTGTCTCTTGATTGCGCAGGTCTCGTGGATCAGACAGCGAGATTTGCATATTCTCACGGTCGGCATTCTCACGTACACGAACGATCAGCGCTTCCAATCGTTGCACAGCGATGGCAGCGACGAGTGGACCCTGAAGATCAGCTCGCCGCAAGTGCGGGACAGCGGAACGTACGAGTGTCAAGTCTCTACGGAGCCCAAGATCAGCCAAGCTTTCAACCTGAGCGTCGTGGGTGCGTATATACGCGCGCTGCTTTGCACAATTAATAAAATTTGAAAAAAGCGCGCGCGCGCGCTGCTTTAATACGTAAAGAGTGAAAATCCCGCAAAAGAGCCCGTGACTCCGTCGTGTAACAAATTAACAAAAACTCCAAAAAGTTGTGTAATCTAGATTATAACTTTTATGATTCCAAGAATTGTTTAAAAGTATTAATCATTAATTTTCTAGTGAAAAGCTTTCGAACTTACTACGTCCGTATGAGTCTCGGTCTCGGTAAGAGAAAAAAAAGTCAAAGTGCGGTTATAAAGAGACGCGGGTTCGAGTTTGGTTTTAAAGCGATTACAAGTTCCGCGCCGTGTGCGCCGATACCAATTTCCGAAGCCCGTTTGTTTTCTAAGTGAATTTTTAAGTGGCCGGTTTCTGAACGGTTCTACCGCGGGTTAATTGCGGCTCTGCGGTGATTTTAAGGAAAATTGTGATCATACTTCTTGGCTCGGAGACTTTGGTCATCGAACCTGACCCGAGAACGCGCGCGCGATACAACCAAAAACCACTTTAACTTTGTTCTGTTTCCTCCCGTGTGCAGTCTCGAAGGCAAAGATCAACGGCAATTCGGAGCTCTACATCAAAAGCGGGAGCGACATCAATCTGACCTGCATCGTGCTGCAAACGCCGGAACCACCATCCTTCATCTATTGGTGAGTTCGAGCGTTCTCCCTTGACGATAGCGCGATTGAAGTTGTGCCGTGTGTATTTCGAAACGTAGCCGAGAGTTTTGCGAAAATCCAAATCGTACACAGTGGCCTCAGGTTTGACAAAAATCTGCTTTATTGAAAAATTTCAACACGACTACCCGTTGCTAAAAAAAGCATCTTTGATAAAGTGAATCTCTATGACGTAGAGTTACTCGCCAAAGTTATGATCTTTAGAATTCACGAATGCTGCCCGGATCGTTTCACGAATGCGCTGATCTGGAAATTTCTCTCGTTTTTTTTTTCTTTTTTTTTTTTTTTTTATATTCGCGTACCCGCGTATTTTGATATTCGCAAAATTTCTCTATTTTGTATGCACATTTTAATATCTACATTTAAAATTCTACTTTTAACACACGAGTATGAAAAAAATTATTAGAAAACGGTTTTATTTATTTCGTCTCGTACTAGTGTCACAAATATGTTTCGGTTTGTTTTTGAAAAAATAAATTTTTGAATAAAATTTTACAGGTACAAAGGTGACAACGTGATAAACTACAGCCAACGCGGAGGCATCAGCGTCGTGACAGAGAAGCAAACACGAACGTCACGTCTTCTGATTAGCAGAGCACTGCCAGCCGATTCTGGCAATTACACTTGTGCACCATCCACGGCGGAATCAGCCAGCGTTCTTGTCCACGTGCTCAATGGTGGGTGAGTCCCGCGATATTATTATCAAAGAGTCGCGATGTGTCTCCGTGTATCTCTTTTCGCACGTATTGTAAAGTTTATACACTTCACAAAATCGTTTATTTCTTTTTGAACGGTTTTTTGATGTTGACGCACTTCACGTAAAAGTCCGAACACAAGTCGAAGAATAAAACTATGTCGCAATGAGAGATGAATTTTCGTGATTAAAATACTTCAAAAACAGCGTATTTATCTTTATGCCACCGCGCGAAGAGTCTTTGCATCGTTCATCAGTTTTCATTAAAAACTTCATGGTGGTCAATAAAGTGTCGCCATTGCAGAGTCGCTTCACAGCTGTATCAATGTGACACTTTTATTGTAATTTATAGCATTTACACCGGAAAGAGAGATACGAGGAGTGAAGTATGTATAATTGACAATATCTGCCATTAAATCTAACGCAACTTCTCGTAGACCTTGCCGTAAAAGCGAAAGCATAAAGTCAATTAATTAATTCCAGCAACTTCGTGAGCCGGTTTTAACTTAATAAGTTCCCAAGAGAACGTTTTCACTGTTATCAAAGAAAGTTGCGAATCGCTCGAAGGGACGCTAAAAAAAAAAAAAAAAAGAAAACAATGTCTATTTAATTACTTTTGAATAAATAATACAACATTGTTTATCTCGAACGCGTGCAGAAAGAAATGTAGCGGCATTTGAAAAAGCAGAAATATGAAATAAAAATAAAATTGCAAATAAAATTGCCCGATTTTTCGTGTCGAGTTTATTTTATTTTAGAAATTTCAGGAAAAATGTATATTTTTTTTTAAATATACATTTTTCCTGGTTTTTTGCGGTTTAAAAATTAAAAAAAAATGTCACATCCATGCTCTTTGAAAGCAGCTCATCGCGTTTGCACATCGTGTGAAAGATCATTTCGACTATTTAACAATTTGACGATAGTAATTGCACACTTTCAGCTCTAATCGTAAGAGCATCGCTTATTACACGTTCCCGTTATAGCCAGAATTAATCTCGCGTTTGCCGTTATTCGTAAGAGATTTACAAGTAATTACTGCGAGGAAACCCGAGCGAACTTAGCGAAATGAAACTCTCGTCAACCGACTATATACGTATATACACTCGCATCTAACGACAAACTATGAAGTCTCCAACTAACTCCACCGTTTCCTCGCGCCCTCTCACGTACACGCGCACAGTCATCGAAATTAGTCCGCGGCTTTCGTTTGAGAACTCTAATGGGAATGTCTATATTCTGATCACCGAAAAATATCCGAGGGATCATCAACTTTGATTAAATCGCGCAAACAAGCAACTTGTTGTACATTTCATCGCGACATTACGAAATGTATCGCATATTTGTTTCTCACGTCAACGAAGACAAGATTAATCGTCACTGACAGACGGATTTATCAAACAAATACTAATTGAATATCTGGGATGTGGGAATACATATTTGTTAGAACGTTTCTCTTGTCATTCTTCTTTCGTAATTCTTTTGTTCCCAAAATATCTGAATCATCGTCGCTACTTATCGGATCCAAGCGTAATGAAGCACAGGAGCGAAAATTACAGAATTTCTGAAAGCTCGTACGACGACTCTGGTCTGATCCGCCCCGCTGTCGCCTTCGTTTAGATGGCTATTCCATTGACTCGGCTCTCTCGTAAAATCGTGCACATGCGTACGTATCAGAGAGAGAGAGAGAGAGAGAGAGAGAGAGAGAGAGAGAGAGAGAATGAGAGTTCAGAAAATAGGTGAGCGGCGGCAAACCCCCTTGACGTCTGATGGAGATCTTTTGTCGGCGATTACATTGTGTCCGCGCGCTCTGGTGAAGCCTTTTACAGGCCAATAATAGTAGCTTTCGCTTTATTGCGTCAAAATGGCTTTTCAGATGTAACGTCATTTAAAATTGTCGTGTGATGAACGGGAGGATACATTTTCGAGCACGATGAAACGGGAGCGAGTATTTTTACGACGTTTCACCGAGATTGCCGCGAAAAGAATACGTTGACAACGACATCGCCAACGAGCCGTGGACAGGACATGTCAGGGAGACGACACTATCTGTTATCGTATAACAAAGAGACCTAGGGTTGGGGAAAGGGAAAAAAGGCGGGGAGGAGGCGGGACACGAAGTAAGTGGAGTCGGACTTTACGGGCATGGGCCGTAAATCCCACGGAGGGGCTTAAAGGTGGGTCCGGGAAAAGTGCCCCGCCGATAAACTAAACGGTAAAGGCCATAAAAACGCGCGCGCGTCGGCTGTACAGCGGCCGGGCGCGTCGACGCGCAACATTCAGGGAAGAGTAGTACGCGCGCGCTGCATACAAGCGGTAATAAACCGGATATCCTCCCCCATCTTCACGAAGAAAACGGAAGAGAGTTCTGCCCGGGATATGTTCGTTCTTTATTCCTCTGCGTAAAGCGCCGAAGAAATAAATCCTCGGACACGTCTGGCCTTTTCCAACCTCCTGGACTCTGGAGGATAAATCAGCCGTGATATTGTCCCATGCAAATCCTTGCCAGATTGCCCGCTGAGGCTCTCATTCTCTCTTTCTCTCTTCTTTCTTCTGCCACGTGCACGTTCCTCACGTCCGCACGTCGTGGCACGCGAGCTTCTGAGATATGTACGTCAAGTGGCTGCTCGGATGGACGAGAGAGACGACGCGGAACTGTTATAAACGGGTAATATCTTCCTATGTTCTCTCTCTCCTCTCTCTCTCTCTCTCTCTCTCTCTCTCTCTCGCTATCTCTCCGCTCCGATTCCCGCTAGGATAATACCGAACTTATCGGAAGTAATACCGCAACTATCGGAAGCGGTACCGCAGTCATCGGAAGCAAATCGGGACGAGCAGCGAATTTAGGGCAAACGTTTGCGGCGCGTTTTCAAAAGCGACGCTTAATTCTTCGAATGTCGGACTACTTTTGCCGTTACATTTGTTTCAGATATATACACATGTGTGTTTTCTCTGGTGCAGAGAACGCGGTGTTAATAAGCAAGAAGTAACACATACAGAGAAATTTAAATACACAGAGACACTTTTGCGGTCGCGGCGATCTGAGCTGAAGTCTTAATTAGTCGAGACCGCGGAGAGTCGCAAAGAGAAACAATTTTCCGCATGACGACCCTTCTTCTCTACTTCTTCGTGAAGCAAAAATTTCACGCGGTGCAAAAAGGTCGTCGAGATCAAACGTGTAGACGTGTAGACCCCGTTGGCCAAATGCGACGAGGACGCGGAAACGTATATAAGACCCCACTCGACGTAATCTCCGTGAGACTTATCAAAGGACTTCGTTACTGCGTGATATACCGCAATATCCGCGAGTTAAATTGTGGAAGTTACGGGAAACCCACCGTGTATTTATAATATATATGTACACACACACACACATGTGTATATGCTATACACGCGGGGAATATGCATTACTCCCGGCTAAAGTCAGAGAGTGGTTGTACATAATAGCGGCGCACGTGCGGACATGGAAAGAGAGAGGAAGCAATACACCTCTTTCTCTCGCTTGCGTTCTATCTCTTTGCATTTCAACTTCGACTTCCTCTAGGAAGACTTCCCATCAGAACAATGCGACGAGGATAATGCGTTGGCGCGTAGATTAAAGCGCGAGATAGCACGTATAACGCACAATCATAATAACTCGGGCATACGCGCGCGCGCGCGCGAAATTTCAGTAACGAGTTTTGCGGTATGTAATAACAAAGCGACCTGTGGGCGCATTACGCGTAATTAGCCGCGATACGCAAGTGGCTCGCGAGGTGTTTTCAAGTTTTATCCAAAACACAAGTTCGTTTGAACAGTTACTAATCAACGGTCACGCCGAAATGTCCGTCAACGCCTATATTGTGATCCTGATTAAAGAGTTTCTGCTTTGTTTCTCGAATAACGCGCGTGCGGTTTAATGCTAATCGTCAATTCTGTAATTAAATCACCGTACATGTCGATTGTTCTCTGCACGAGAGTTCCGTTCTACACGCGTGTATTCCTAATCGTTGCTGCGCGTTTTCACGTGTAACTGTGTGATATCTCGGGATGACGAAGGAAAGCGAGTGATATATATTATGTCGCAACATAGATAATTTGGAATATCGATAAGGAAGAAAATAAATGACAAAAGTACGAAATTTCGAAACAATTGAAGCTTTCGTATTTTGAGCTTGAGTTTATAAATAAAGCAGCGTAAATAGATTTTCAACATGTCGCTTCCTTTCGAGAACAACGTGTGCGCGCGACTTCTAATAAACAGTCATTAATATTTATACGAACGTTTGTCATTAGATCGGTGAGCACGTGCGACTCGCGCGAAAATAATAACGTGTAATTTATCAGCGAGATTGCAGGGCCAGTAAATGTCGATACATCTGCGCGGCCTCGGTCAACTTTCCAACGACCTGAAACGCTGCCAAGTCCTTCGACAAGGCGTAGAACGATAAATTATGTGTACCTCCCGTAACTCCATAGAAATCAGTTATCAATTATAAAACGCGTCGGCTATAAAACGTTTTCTTTTTACATGAACTCGCGCGACGCGCCAAGTTTATAAAACGTCATGTGGACGTTTAATAATTATGAAGCTTCATTAATAATTAATGTATGCATTACGAATTATCGATCTGTGGATATAATCTGAATTTACCGTGTAAATCTAATATTGCAGAACAAACTTTCTTGCGTTATTGCGTGTTTTTATTTCATTAAATTTTGTTTTTCTTTTTTTTTTGCTGAATTAAATGCGTCGTATCTGCGACGTGATGTTTTTCATTAATACATAAAATTTCAAATCTGCAAAATCAGCAAATACAAAATGTATAAATACTATTATTTGCAGAGATATTTCTTTGGGAAAAAAAAAATTGTTTTGCATATATACACGTCATGTCAGTGCTACAGAATTTAATAAAAATATTTGTAATATATTTTCTTTTTTTTTACAGTTTTTATACTTTCTGCGTTAGAGTAAAAATCATGTATTCTCTTCGCGTAAGTATT